CTCTCCATTCCTGTTGATAATAGCGCTTGTTTATGGCCGACACTGTAGCTGTATCTGCATGTATGTGTGTGTGTGTGTCTGCCACGCTTCGTCGCATTTTAAATTAAGCTCCATTTTTATTTCTATTTACATTTTGCTCTTCGTTTTTGCTCTGCTTTCCTTTAGCGACGGCTGGAGCTGGGCACTGCAACTGTTTGCGGAGCAGCAGAAGGGAAAAAGTTTTAACCAGACGGCGAGAAGAGGAGAGCGAGAGTACCCCTCTTATATATGTATACCCCCATCTAAGGTGCTCGGCATTTTTTATTTGTTTTTCATTTTCACTTTTATTATTCCAACATTTCTACAATATTTTTGGTTGTTGTTTACTTTCGGGACGGCGGCGCCAAGTAAAATGTTTGATTTATTTTTTATTTGCCATTGAACGTGTTTATTTATGTGTTCTCTCTGCTTTTTGCTGCTGCCTTTACTTTTCTACTTTCTCCCTACACCGGGAAAAATACAGTAAAAAAGAGAAACTTCAATTGGTAAAAAATGTTTACAGTTTAAAATATCCATTTAACTGTTTTAACATTTTTTTGCAACTTTGAAATTGGTTGGATCAATTGAATTTGGATATATCCTGAATTGTTGAAAAGAAAAAAATTTAATTATCAATCCTTATTTGATTTGGATCTGCATTTTGTCAAGTGTATTGCTCCGCTCCCTCCTTCTTCGGGTGCTCTTTGGTTCCACTTTTCTTATTTTCCTTTTAGCTAATCTTTTTATGCTTCTATTTATTTCGCTCCTTCCATGCATTTTATTTGCCATTTCTCATATGTCTGTTATTGTAAGCTGCGTTAAATTGGAAAATATTTAAGTGTTTTTATTTTTACTTTCATTTTTGTGTGGAGTAAGATTTGTTTCGTTTTGGGAATTAGCTTTGTGAGCATGATTTATGACGCGGAACAAGTGTAGAGAAGAAGCTTTAAGGCTCTTTGCTGATGTTGATTTTGATCTGGTTCGAGATTACAAAAATGAGTTTTTGTTTTTCTATTTGAATAGAAGATTTCAAAGAGAATGATAAAGTGGTTTTAAGGGGGAGTTTAACTTTTGATGGGTTGCAAAAAATTCTTAAATAATTTCAATGAAAGAAATCTGGGACAAAATACGTTTCTTTCAGAAGAAGCCTTTTAAACATACATCCTGGGAGATATTACAAACTCTTTTTCAAGAAAATCCTTCTTAGGAATCCCTGCAATGCCGAACTTCTTTCAGAGTATTTCTTTTCTCTAGATTTTAGAGTATCCTTCCCGAGAAACCCGACAAACAATACCTGATCATCCAAGCTGCTCCTCCCCAACTTTCCCATGCACTTTCAAGTAATTTTTCTGTTTCTCTTTGGAGAAGACTTAATTAAATGAAACGAAAGGCTGAGCAGCCACTTCTAATTGAAGCATTCTCCAAAGCAGCAGAGTCCAAGCAAAACCAAAAAAAAAAAAAAATGGAAATCATTTGAATCGCCTAGTCTGGCGGCTGGCCACAAAAAAGGGCAATTGCTGGGCATAAATTCATTTCTCGTTTTGTTCTGCGAGAAAGAAAATATGAAAATTCCCCCAGTTATCCTTCTTATGTATTTTCTGTGTGTGTGTGTGTGGTGCCTTTGCCAAACCGCAAAAAAAATGGATGAAAAAACCACAGAGAAGCGGGCAGAGAGATACAGAGAGAAAGGAGAGGGAGATTCAGTTATCGGGGACTTACCACAGACTTGACTTTAAGGCGGCTTTAAAAATATGTGGGGTGTCCCTGCGGAAAGCAAACTCTAAGCGGATTTTGATTTGTTTTTGCCAACCAGACCCCCGCAAACAAAAGGAAAATGTGCTTAAGTTGTTTGTTCCCTGATGCTCTTAACTTTCCCCCGTTGAATCCTCCGCTCGTTCTGCTCGGTTGAGGATTTCAGATGCTCGAAGGACTCCTCCTGTTCCTCCTCCTCCTATACAGGATTGAGTTTGAAAAGTTGAATTGACATCAATCAGAGTCAGAGTGCTTGGCTGTTACTTTGGCGCACCTGACAGACCGCAGAACATAAATATACTTTTCAATATGGCCCCGACCGCAGCGTCAAATTGGATGAGTTTTAATTAATTTCGTCATTACAATAATTAATTGAATGCCCTGCTGTGTGTGAGGCCCAAGGACATACATAGCTTCGTGGGTGGAGCTTGGGTCTGTGGTATGCGGAATGTGGAATGCAAGGGCAGGCAGGCCCACAGGTTGCGCAGATGCAACAAATTGCAATATATTTTACAGCTACTTAGTCGAGCATTACACATGCACACTGCAGGAGCCAACTTTTCGAGCCACATGTGTGCGCAAGTGTGTGTTGTATCCGTGTGTATGCCTGTGTGTGTGTGTGTGTGTGTGTGTGAGCACAACTAGAGTTTGATTTATTGCCAGCCTCAAAAGCTCATAAATAAATGAAACGAAACCCAAAATGGCTTCAAATTAGTTTGAAGTCCTTGGGGGGCAATGATAAATTGAAAGCGAACAACTGAAACGTATTTAAGTGTCTGGGGAATTTTGGTAAAATATCAATGGAAGTTTCAGCTTAAATAAAAAACCAAGAATGATTTTTATGAATTTTATATGAAATCAATCTGGATTTTTAACCACAAAATAGTCAAATTCATGCTAAATGCAAGCCCTAAATAATTTAAAAAATTGTTGGAGTATACCTAGAGAATAGCTAGAAATATTTTAAATTCAAATTAAATAAATTTTCGCATAAATAGTTCCATTCCCACAAGCACTTTTATCCACACAGCACAGCTACCAGTCTAATCAGCAATTTCTCAAGCCAATTCAGTTAAACCTTTTTGCAAACTCAAAGAGAATATCTTAAATGTGGCATCTCTGCCCGTTCATAGGGGATCATTTCACGAGGACAGTGCCAGTGCCAGTACCAGTGCCAGTACCAAAGTCAGCTTAAGAGCCAGTGCAAACTTCTTTAATCTGAGAAAATGTGCCTATAAATAGCTCAGAAAGCTGTGCTCGAGCCTGTGTGTTTGCCTTGCAGGCCGGATTATGGCTTTGCCTGATAAATCTGTCGCCCATAAAGTACCACAATGAACGACTGTGCCACTAGATTCAACATTCATACCCCCTCCATACACTCTCCATACACATGGGTCCAATTCATGAGGCGACGCTGCGTCTACGACAAACTACTGCAGATAAGAGAGGCAGAATCACAGAATATATGGAGAGAATCCCCATGAATGGATGTCTTGCTCGAGTGACGCCAGCAGAACTGTCGTCCAGTCTCGAGTTCATGTCCAGTGGCCGTTCAGTCCCTGGTCCCGGTCCAAGCCAGCTCAATGGGTTTCTTGTCCAGTTCTCACTGGTGTGCAATCAACTGTAAGTTGTCATCTGCCACAAGCAGAGAGTCCCCACAAGTCTTTCTCTCACTCTCTCGATGATAGAGAGAGAGCGAGCTGAAAGCGGCTGTTTAAACGCGGTGAGCCGCAAATCAATTTGCTCTTCAACTAAATTCCCAACTGAATTTAATATTCAGTTACTTGTCCGGCCTCTCCATCAAATTGCCTTGTCAATTATGTAATTTGAATCTAATTTTTATTAGCCATCGCCATCAATAGATTGTTAATATTCTGAAAGAAACAACAAAATACGTTAAAGTGAAAGACACAAAATTAAGTTACTTCGGTTTCAAATTCAAAATTCCCTTTGAATTTTATTATCACTAGATGAATAGTGGAATCGATTCTTTTATTTTTTAAAGAAATATATTGTATCCTGTCTGCTGCTTGGAGATTAAGTGAGGAATTCATTATAATATTTCTGATACATGATGCCTTCTAGCATAGCAATTTATTATAGGTAAATACATCAATTAATATAGTTTACATGAATTAAAAATTAATTTGATTAGCCCACAAAAGAATTTATCTGGATGTAACAACATTTTATGCTCACTTAAGCACTTGAAATATTTAATTGCTCTGACACTTATGTATTTCTAAATGAATGCTGGACCCGTATAATAGACCATATCATTTGATTACGCAACAAAAAGCATTTAACTGCCACTTACAATATTTTCTGCTCATTTGAAGCACAAATCCAAATATATCTTGAATATTTTCAAGTGTTGAGTGCCACAAATGTGCTGCATACTTTTTTGCGTTCATTGAGCATGAAAGTCTTTTATTTTTCCCCACCTCAAACCAAAAAACAAACACCCTTGAGAACGAGTGCATTTAACAGTTTATTGTTGGGAAATCCTAAAATATTTTTAGAATTTCTGAACATTTTCGGTGTGGGGTGGGTTTTGGGCGCGACGCAAAAGTATGCTGGAAATATTTTGTGTCCCGTATTGGAGGGGCAAAATTTGTATGGATTTTAATTAATATGTTTCCAGCATGTCCATATTCAATATTCCCCCACATAAATTATCATTTCTATTTGCTTTTTGACCGCCGGCAAATTTTAATATCTGATTCCCATGCAAATGTCCAGCCAGACAAACACACTTTGTAAAGTGAAACCCAAACCATCAAAATATATCGAATAAATACATATACTATATATATATATATATAATATGAATGCAAATATATTTGCGATAAAAGCCAAACCAGCCAGAAAGTCAGCAATATATGTATGTGTATGCGGGCATGGCAGACATTTATTCAGTCAATTGATCGAAGTCAGGCTGCAAAAAAATAAACCCAACGAAAATAAATTGTACTAATAAAATGTATTTTGTATTTACAGATTTTCAGGCGCCATGTGCCAAAGCCAGAGCAAACCAAAATAATACAGTATATGCGGAAAATCGTTGAGGAAAATCAAAATAAAAATTGCTTCCTATTTTTTTCGGGGAGTGTGAGAAAAATCAACGCCGAAGGCCAAAAAGGATATTTTAACCAAACAAAATGCTGAAAATCTGCATTTTTACATTGGTAATTGCGGCAGCTGCCGCAGCAGCAGTAACAACAAAAACAACTACAACAACTACAACAACTCCAACAACTCCAACCCCTACAACAACAACAGTTGGGGCAACAACATCAACGGAAGCTGCCCCAATAGCAACAAAGACAACCATAATAAAAAATGACTTGGGTGGAAGTGAGGCCCCGTTGGGAGCTGGCGAAGCCAACCGAACGTTGTTGAACATTTTCAAGGATGTGCCAGAGGAGGAGGAGGAGGAGCGGCAGACGGCCGCAGTGGGTGGTTCAACCTCAACGGCCACGCCCACCACAACAGCCACCACCAGCACGACAACAACACAGGCAACAACAATCACCGCAAGAACTGCACAAAATGGACCAACGACACCAACACCAACGGGCACAGCAACAGCAACAACAGCGGAAAATGCGGCAGCCTCGGGGCGCGGCAGCATGCTAATGACAACAGCAATGCCCCCAGCGGACTTGGTGGAGATGAGCGGGCTTAAGGATGCACTGCATCGCATTAAATTAAGCGAGATTCCCACCACGGAACAGGCAGAGCCAGCATCGGAGATGAAGGAGCAGTCAAAGGCAGCAACAGAAGAGCTGACTGTAGCGAGGGTAGAGCTAAGGGAGCAGTCACCTGTGGGAGAAGAAGCGCCCGATGCAGATGAGGAGGACAGCGCCACCGAATCTCCACTGCAAATACAAATGCAGGCAGCTGCCTCCTACCAAGTGGCCGAAACTCTGGCAGATCTGAACGAGGAGGAGCGTGCACGCTACGATGCCATGTTGGCCCACCAGCCCACGGCCAGTAAACTGAACATTGTGGATCTGTATCCAATGAAAATCGAAGACTTTCAGCCCATTATTCAGAACGATAACGAGGAACTGCTGAGGCAGCGCACCATCTTTACACAACCCGAGAACAATGACGAGTACCGACAGAATCTGATGCCCAATGAGGTGGAGATGGTAATTAACAGAGGCGAAGAACCAGTGCCGGATAAACTGCGAGTCAATCAGGCTATTGGTGGTGCCACCACCACACCTATAGCCAGTCAGGGAACCACAGCAGATTTCACAGGCAAACTGCTGGCCGATCAAGATGATCTCATCACCGAAATTGAAAGCAGGTTTCAGCTGCAAGAGACGACAACTGTAACCACAACCACAGCAGAACCGAAGGCAGCCACAACCACAGCGCGACCAGCAGCTTCACTACTCCGACCCGGCGACTCCTTCATCGATCGTCGGGTGAAGAAGAGCTTTGAGTTTCCCATGCAGCATCGTGCCAGCGATGTGATGGCCATGCCCCACATAGACTTTGCCAACACAAAGTTCCAAACGGACTCGCTAGACTCCGGCGATGCCAAGGCGGCGGTGGGCTCCGAAATGCACATGGCCTCGCATCCGGAATTCTCCACCACAAAGTTTTACAACAGCAAGGAGCTGTACAACGAAATGCTGCTGCATAATAAGCGCAAGTTAATGAAGGAAATCAAGTCCATGACTATGCCCGCCTCGGGTGCAGCTGAGAGCAGCCCGGTGGTAAAGTCAGTGAAGGAGGACGAGGACACAACTCAGTTGCCATTGAGCGTGACTCTGGTCGCAGACGGGCAAACTTTTTCCCCAACAACAACAGCAGCAGCGGCAGCATCAACAATATCTACTACAATCCCAGCCACAACTCCAGCAGCAGCTGACACAACAAAAGCAACATCTACAGTGGAAAACTCTGGGAAATATCAGAAACAGCTTAAGCGTGCCAAATTATTGCTCAAGGCCCTGACACCACCCAAACCTGAAAAGCTGGCAGTTGTCTCATCACCCATGAAAGTCGCCACCGAACCATCGCCAACGCCATCGCCAACGCCATCTCCATCAACGACTACATTGGCAACTCCAGCGCCAATGATGGCCACGTCCAGGACGCGTACACAGCGACCAGTTAATCCGGCTAAGACGGCCTCAAAGCCAATTGCCCGGCCGCGCATTTTAAGTCGCCTGCAGGAGAAAATCAATTCGCTCGAATGCGAGATACAGAATGTGCCGCAGGATTCGCATTTGTGGCGTGGCAATGAAACCCACGAATTGCTGCTGCCCATTGTGGTAAGTAAGGCGGTGGCTTTAAGGCTTTGTCTCACTGTTTCTCTGTCGCCTTCTCTGTTATCAAAAACAATTGAAACCTGATTAAGTTCTTATCATTAGCAGCACAAAGCACACACACACACACACACACACACACACACTCGCAGAGTAGAAGCAAAAAGAATGAATGGAAAGAGGAGAGCTTAAGTATTCACTAAAGGGGCCGCCAACACACACGCCATATGCGTGTTATTTGTGTAAGCGGGTTAAGCAATTAGGGGACTGACTACATTTACATAATATGCCCGCTGACGGCTAATTAGTATGGAAGAGAGCTTAGTTTTTGGGGCAGGGATTAGCCGCACAAGGAAACGAGAGATCCTAATTAACCTGCCAAAGTTCTGAGGCAAGGCAAGCGCATAAAGAAACTATTGATTTGGGGGTATAGAATTACCCCCTCTTTGTACAAACTTCCCCCATTGAGAAGCAACATTTGAGCACACTCAACTCAATAATTCGATATCCAATTTGCCTACTTCCCTTCCCCCTCTCTCCACACACAAAAACAACATTCGGAAAACTTGTTAAATTTGTTTGCTCAGCTAATTGAAAACCTTTTAAGAGTTGATACAAATTTCAAACCGAAAGAAATCACTGTCAGCGGGGGGGTGCATAAATAACCAACAAACACATTTGCAGTTAACATCGACAGAAACAGTTGAATGGACAAGAAAAGGACATCTACAAGACAGGCAAAAAAAAAAGGAAAATAATTCAACGAACTGAACCCGAGCTTAATCCCCCCTGGATATGTTTTGGCCAACAAAAGGAAATTATTGATCGTCATTTTATTTGGCCATTTCCGTGAGCATGTGTGTGTGTGAGTGGTGGCAATGGGGGAGGTTGACCGGAAATATGGCAGACCTGTGCACAGTTTCTTATGCAAAAAAGGGACAAATCCTTGACGTGTGGACAGTGCGGTACGAAACGTTAGGGTAGCTGGCAAATTTGCAGTTGGTTTTCTCTCTGTCTTGTCCGAGTCTCATACAAATTTGCTACACACTGTAGTTGTATCCTAGAAAAGGGTTTACAATTTCTTTATTAAATCGCATTTGTTGTTAAATCACGAATAAACTAGAAAAGGGACTAGACACCAGCCCGGGGCCTCAGTTGGCCAGCCTGGAGTTGGCTTTCCTATTCTGCATATACAATATATATATATATATATATATATATATATATCCCTTTCATGTCCTGGTTATATTGACGTAAATCAAGCCATTTGCCTGGCCAAATCACAGCTGCTGCCCCTTTGGCAAAATATTTAAATTCATTTTGTGAAATGTTCACCCTTTTCACTGGCAGCAGTTATGTGAGAGCCGAAAGCTGACTGACTAACTGACTGAAAGACAACTGACTGCCGGTGAAGAAGGACTTCTTCGACTTGTTTAATTAACAGCAGTTTTTGGGGGCGGCTGTCTATTCAAACAGTTGCTGTGTGTGTGTGTGTGTGTGTGAGACTCCATTCCAGCTGAAATGCTATTAGATTTGATGTTCATTTTGTAGGCTCTTCCTTTGGCCGGATTCATTTCTTTTGTTAATAAGGAAGCAAACGAATGGAGCAAACGAATGGCAAAGTAAAAAGAAATTGATTTCGTGTTTACTTTTTGGTCAGCGAATGGTAAATGGCAGGTCGTCCATGAATTTAATTAAGGACCAATGCAGCATTATGTAAATTTGGGCAGCAAAGTGAAAAGGAAAATACATATACATTAGGCATTGGCATAATGTGTACCTTGCATAAAATTAATGCTGACTTTCTTGCCCCTCTTATTTCTTTCTCAAGAGCTTCCTGCCCATGAGGTCCCTTCCCAGGTCCAACTGCCATGTGCCGTAGGGCCTTTTCCCAGTGCTCCATCTCCATCTGGAGGTAGAAAAAAAAAGAAAACAATTAAAGAAAACAATTTTCGCATAAAAGGTGGAAACATTTCTTTCAGGTTTCCCATTTTTTTTTTGTGGGGGTCAGTGCAAACATTTTTCAACTGAATTTGTTTATTCTTCTGTTTGTTGTTTTGGGACTCCTTTTGATGGAAGTCTCTGCTGCTGTCTCTCTGCTACCCTCTAGCCTGCTCTTCCATTTTCTACTTGTTGAGACATTTAAGCTTAGTTGAGATTAGTTTTTCTTCGTATTATGTTAATGGCCAGTTAAGTGTCTGAGTGCATTTTTCTACGACACTCTAAGTGATTGGAAATTGAATTAATTTTGATGATAAATTAATCATGAGAGCAACGGAATCTGTTTAATTTTTATTAGAGTCCAATAATCATAAAACTCAGTTTATATTACACTGCTAAGTAAAGCTTTCAATATTGAATTCCCAATGTCTGAAAAAAACTGCTTTTAAATGAAAGCAAAAAAACTGAATAAAAGCGCAAAAAAAATACGAAAATAAATGTCTAACAATAAAAATGGAAATTTATGTCATTACCTTTTGTGGTCTACTAAAAAAAAAAAAAGGAACTGAACACTGAACACCAAAATACGATGAAATTCTATGTGACCCAAAAACTTGGACATTTCCCAATTGGATAAAAATCCCTGTTGTATATGTATGTATGTAAAAAGGCCAGTTTTTCGGGTTGATTTCTGTGTGTTGTTTTTGGAAGGCTGACCAACATACAATGTGGAATTTTATGTGCGCTGAGACAGGCCATTAAAATACCATAAATTTTGAGCTCTGACAAATCCCCACCGAAAAAATACATGCACATACCTACATACATATATGTAAAAGGGAATACTGTATACAAATACTGTATTAAAACCAGAGATGAGATCCAAAACTAAACCGCTTCAAATTGCGCAAAAATATGCTAAAATTGCTGGAGAGGTTGAAAATGGAGACCATAAAATGGGAACCCGAACCGACCACAAAGTCGAATTTTGGTGCCTGGCTTACATTTACTCGTATTTTGATTGTGACGTGTGTGTGTGTGTGTGTGTGAGGGTGCTGTGCTGTGCCCGTAGCAGACAGCTTATGGCTGTGGCTTAACCCAAATTAATAAAAATTTGGCAACATCAAGTGGATCTACGCATATGTTAAATAAACTTTGCTAATATCCACCCCGAAACGGGACCCCAGGCGGGACCCAGAAACCACGAACCTTTTGGCTGGGAAGTTTATTAGGTTCGGGCCTGCTTTGGGCCCTGGTTACTACTTATGTAAATTTGTTTCTACCACAAAACTAAACTCCCAAAAAAGGGACAGACCCGCCCAGACAGTGCTAGACATCGAGACAATGTTATAAAAGTGAAATTAGAAAACTTGTTTAATAATTCAGTTGGTTTCATTTCCATCGTTCGCCTTTTTGGTTCGGCTGTCAAACCGCAGCAGACTGTCAAACCGACTGTCGGCGTGGAAACCTTTTAGTGCCCCCCTTTTACATTTTGTGGCAATGATTTGAATAAGCAATTTCTCTCTATCCATCCTAAAATTCCATCTTCTTTACTCTCGTCTTCAGACCACGGAGCACTGTAAGCCGGACGAGCATTGCATACCAAATGTTCTCACCTGGCGGGGCGAATCGGAGATCCAGTCCGGCGATATTCTAATTGTGGAAATCAATGATGCCATGCTGAATCCCTCACACCAGCCGAACAATACCAGCAGGTAAGCTCTTAATCAAGACTGAAAATATTGCCAAAATTAAATCACATTTGATGGGGCGGAGAGATAATGATTGAATGACATTTTCCAAATAAGCTCTTTAAGCCATAAACCTTTGAAAATGCCAAAATAAATTCAATGATTTAACGAGTATTTAATGCTTTTTCATACAATAAATATAAAAGTTAAACTCAGTAAGGCGGAAAAATATTTTGCAAACATCATAAACCATCGAGTTTAGTTGGCAAACTTTTCCAGATAAAAAAATTCCACCTAAAATCAAGGAAAAATGCTGGTAAATAATAAATGTGATAAATCAAAGGTTTCAGTAGCTACAGAAACAAAAAAGCGAGCAAAAATATATACACCTAAAAAATATATCTATAATCGACTTAAAAATAAATAAATCAAAGCATCTGAAATTATTCTACGTGTCAAACCATTTACGATTTTAATGCTAAAATAAATATTTGCTACAAATATGTACATTGTATAATAACAATTTTTATTTCGCATAAATATAGCTTAAATTAAAGCTAAACGTACTGAAATTCCGTACCAAAAATATTGAAAAATATATTTTTAAGCAGAGAATTTAGAGCGCTGGAACCCTTGTCAAACAAAAACAATTTTTTTAAGGCAAAGAGATACTGTTCATATCCTCAGACAGATTCATTCTCAACAATGTTGGTGATTTTATTTATTGCACAGATTACAATTTATTTTTTTATCGCTGCAACTCCATTATTTTGGTGTTTTATTCTCTGTTTTTTGTTTTGTCAATATAATGAAGCACTGGAAACACTTGATGCTCGATGCATGAAAGCAAAGTATCAATTTACTTTAGATATAAGATTCAATTACATAATCCAGACACACACAAAAATTGTCTTTATTTTTTCAACGCTTTCATGGCAACTGCACTTGTTGAAAATGGTGTCTTGTGTGGCTGACTTGCAGACAGAAAGCTGGAGTAAAGTTAACCAAAAGCTGATGGCTGGGAGTGATGTATGTTGTTAAGCAGAGTAGCTGACTGACTTTGCTGCTGCTGCTGGCCAGCAAGACACACTGTCATTATGGGCTATCATCAGGAGCAGCATCTCCAGCAGCAGCAGCATCAGCACCAGCAGCAGCATCAACATCTGCAGCATCATCATCCTCACACACACATGATGAAGCGACCCTTTTATTTTCTGAGCTCTGACAGGAGCCCAAAGCCCGTCACCTGAGCACTGAGCGGGATTTGTAATACCTTCCACCTTAACTCGCCCACCTACCGCCCCATTTATCTTGCTGTTCACGCATATAGTTTTTATATTTGGAGGAGTTGGAGGTGCCGTGCTGCTCTCTACTTTGGGCGTTGGTTCCTTTTTTTTTCTTATTGGGTTTTTTTTATTTTCAGTTAAGCGCTTTAATGCGCGCTGAAACGTGTTTGTTCAGGAGCTTATTATATAATAACATCCATTAAGGGCCTTTATTGATTTTTCTTCGGCACGTCTGCCCCCTGGCAAGGGGAGGAGGTCTGAGATAGAGGTCCTGCAATAGTTGCCTGGTCGTGCTGGTGTCTAAGTTGGCCCAGACACGTTTCGCCATTATCATGCCCTTTTTACAGTTTATTAAATTGTTTTTTTTTTTTTCTTCTGCTCCTCCTCTCCTCATCGCCAGTCTCTTTCTAACTCTACTGCCGCTGCCGCTGTCTCTTTCTCTGTATATTTTCTCTTTGGTTCATTTCTATTCACAATTCTTTTTTATTTTCGGTTTTGTTTATTTTATAATGCTCGACAAAAATCCCCCCTACAAACTGCGCATATAAATGCGCTGCCAGACACTGCGTGCCCACTCCTTTTAGCCTAGTTGTTGACCATTAGTCATTTTGGCCTGGACCTCAACACACACACAGCAATACACAGCTGGCTGACCCTTTTGCCATGGCAATTATCACGTTTCTCTGGGTTTTTGGTATCACATTTTTTTTGCGCTGCCCCCTCTCTCCCTTTTTTCGCTCTTTTTAATTTAGCTTTGGTCGCACTGGCTCTTATCTTATCTCTTGATAGATGTGGCAGCGCACCCCTCCACCCTTCCAGCAGGCTCCATCAAAAAGTTTTTTTGCCAAAACGAAAAGAAAAAGAGGGAAAAAAAAGAAAAATTAAAATTCATTTGTCGATCTCAGGGCAAACATCAAACGCGACCGCGTTAAAAATACTCTCCCTCTCTCTCTGTCTCGCTCTCTCTCTCTTATTTAGCCTCAGGGGGCCGTGGTACTCGAAATTCCCGGCATAAGTTTTCGGTTCCCGTATGACCCGGCGGTGGTGGCAGTGCCCCCAGAGTTTTCCTCGCTGGCTAACAGGACCGCAAACAATCGAGTTAGTGGAGGAGTGAAAGTGAAGCGAAGTTCAGCTCGTGCACAAAAAAGCATAGCATACAATTGAGCGCCCGCGTCCACAGAGAGAAAAACTTTGCGCCAACTATGAAAATGAGATGTCAAAAAAGTTTTCATTATCGATTTAATATGTTTCTCTGTCTGTCTGGCTGTCTGTCTGGCTGGCTGTCTGTCTGTCTGTGTGTTGGTTTGTTTGTATGTGGGAAAAAGTTAACAAATGCAATAGCAACAAATAATAATGCCGAGGACCCAAGGCAAAGCAAGTGGGTAGCAAATAGATTGAAAACTTTCTTCGGGGTTCGTTTCCCAGTTCTCTAACAAGTTTTCTTTTTGCCCTCCACGAGTACGTGTTTGTTGAAAAATTGCAAACTTGGATACTGTATGAGGTGTCTGCCTCGCTCAGAGTCAGAGTCTGAGGAGTAGGAGTCGGCGTTGGAGTTGGAGTCTGGCTTCTGTGTAGGAATGCAGCATAAAGTTGGGCAGGAAGGAGTGCTTTAAATTTCAGCAGCAGAAGCTGGTTACCCTCTGTACAGCTTTTGAATGCAGCCAAAATTGTGGGCAATGCCTTAAAGAAGTTTGTTGCATAGTTTTGATGGCATGAAAATCCAGAAAAGTCGCTGGGCTTGTAGAACAAATTAACACGAATTTTTTAACCTTTAAAAAAGGGACTAACGCTTGTTCTCTTTCATAATATAAATTATTTCAAGCATCCGCTAAGCAGCTTTGTTTTGGCAGGCAACTAAACTATTGTACATCTGGCAAATTCCATGCCACGCCCAAAAGCCTAAAGAGCATCCTCCAATCCCCCCCACAAAAACCTCAAACATAAACCCTTTCACGAGCCCAGCCAGCCCAGCGCTCAACTAATTTCATTTCCGCTTTTGTGCTATTTAATTTCCGCTAGAACAGGGCAGCTGAGAGCTACTGCTTATAAATAAATTTCAATTAATTAAGCACACACACACACACACACACACACCTACAAATACACAAAGAGAAAACAGGAAGAGGTCCTTGGTCATATTTATAACTTGAACAAGAAAACAAGAAGCCATTTAACTTTGCTTTCTATCTTTATGTACGTGTCTCTCTCACTCTCTCTCTGTCTTTCTGGGTTACTTTAACTACTGCTCTGTGCCAACGCGGTGTTGCTGCTGCCACAATGAACGTCCACATGCAGCGCGGTACATGCCACACAGGTCTATCAGGTAACACGCTCCGGCCACGAGCATTGCGATGTAACCGAAGGCGTCCTCTTGGATATTACACCGCTGGTGGTCGATGGCAGGAAACTGGTTACGTTGTATGATAAGGATCTCACCGAGGGAGTTAACTTGTTAATTGGTGAGTGGACCCAATACACTTACTTTCCACGGGTACACGTCAGTTGGTGGTTAAGTTTGAAAAAAGAAAAACAAAGCCAGAAAAGTGTCTCTATATTTTAATCCTACTCAAATCGAGGCTGCATTTATCAATGAAATTTAGTTAAATACTTTTTGCGAACAAGTATAATTTTACACTCCAATTTCTCAAGCTAAAGTGCTCACTGAATATTTATTTATATTAATAATAATTTTATACATTGAACTACTTCGCTTCAATCTAATCACTCTCAGTTGATCCCTTCAACTGCAACTCTCCTTCGGAAAACAAAGCCTGACAGCTACTTAGTTTCTTCCCAAAGTTTGCTACCTTCAATCATTCTATAGAGTATTACATCATCATCAATCGCAATCTATAACAGCGTCTGCCTTTCACAGGTTGACGCCTTTAGGGAGCAATTTTTTTCCTTTCTGGCTTGTCCTGTTTTTGTTGTTCCTGTGCGGCCTATGCCGCAGCCTGCGGCTATTAAATGCTTTCTTTTTTCCAGCAGCCAACAAGCCAGCACCACCACCCAACGTGTGCCCAATGTTCATGTAGCTTTAATTAATTTGAAACCCTACTGTTTTCACACTTCCTTCTGTGCCCAAACCCTACCGTGTCGCACCTCTTACCATTCCACTTTGTTTCTTACCCATTTTAGTGGTGTCCGAGCTGTGGGGAGCGCAATGTGTTCGCCTGAAGGTGACCACGAAAACCGACAATTGTGGCGAGAATGCCGATTGTTCGGGCAAGGGAGTGTGCTACTCGAATGCCGGCATGGAGGAGTACGAGTGTCAGTGTTGCAGCGGTTTTGCGGGCCCGCACTGCGAGGAGATCGATGCGTGTAATCCCAGTCCGTGTACCAACAATGGCATCTGTGTTGACCTGTCGCAGGGTCATGAGGGTAACTCCTATCAGTGCCTGTGTCCATACGGTAGGTCATTACTCTCCCTCTCTCTGCTAATTAGCAGAGTTATACGATATCGCTACTAATATGCCCCTTTGGTGTTTTTTTTTCTTTCCTTCTGTTAGGATATGCGGGCAAGAACTGTCAATACGAGTCGGATCCCTGCAATCCCGCCGACTGCATGAATGGCGGCAGCTGTGTTGGTAATTCCACGCATTTTCGGTGAGTCTAAGGCAAACAGAGATACACAGTACAGCACAGCACAGCACAGTCATAGAGCAGAGACAGAGACAGTCATAGAGCAGAGCTTTCCATTCAATTATCCTGGCCATTGTTTTTGCGGTTCTGTCTGTCTGTCTGGGCCCCTCTGTCGGTGTCTGTATTTGCTCATAAATGTTGACTTTTGTCGCATGTTCAGAAATTCTGTACGACCTGTATAACCTTTATACCCACTACGTTCCGTTCCTACGCTCTGTCAGCTGCGATTGTACGCCCGGCTTCACAGGTCCTCTGTGCCAGCACAGCCTGAACGAGTGCGAGTCGTCGCCCTGTGTGCACGGCATCTGTGTGGATCAGGAGGATGGCTTCCGCTGCTTCTGTCAGCCAGGTGAGTGAACAATTCGCCCAAATAAACGCAAATTGCCTTCATTCTTTTGTTGATTCGCTCGCAAAATCGCTCCCATAATGCCAATATTTTGCAAGTTATCATCGTCAAAATTCACACAATCATTGTTGGCATTGCTGGGTTCTATTATAAATTGAGTTATGGTTTGGAAATTGCAATGGATGATGGTGATTGGGTTGGGGCAATCGCATGACTAGCTTTAAATAGTAGTTGGCAGATGAAAAGCAGTTGAAAGGAATCATATTCATAGTAAGCATTCAAGCAGTTATATGGCTGTCGATGGTGATCTCATTTATTACTGAAATAAATAAAATGTAACTTTCCATAATAGTTTTTGACATTTATAATTATTTTTCATTTGGATTTTTGTATTCAAAAAATTACATGAAGGTACTAGTAAATATAACACAATAAAAGACTTATTAAAAAAAAAATTAAATTATGATAATTTGCATTTGAATTTTCTGCTAACTTTTATTCAGGTATACAAATGTGAGCTTCAGTACTACTAATCATTTTCCTTTGCCAATACGATGCACCTTATTTCCGTCTTATTATTTCAACTGAATTGCGTTTCTTTAAGACAATCAAATTTCGCTTGAGAGATTAGATTGAACTCTGATGCAAATCAAAAATCAACATCGACGCTCATAAATTATTTCATTGGCACAAACACAATTTACATAAATCGCACTCAATCACAATGAAAGTAAATGTACATACATATATAAAACAAACAAAAAAAAAGGCAATTCCGGCAAGTCTGGTGGAAGCAGCCAACCCGGTCGAGACATCGCATCTCCGTCTAAGACTTCCTTTCCCGCTGGGTGTCGCGCGCTAAAACATTTCTCATTGAAATTTCCATTTCATTTATTTTCCACATTTACATTACGCATACCCCTACCCCCCACAACCACACCTTTTTCTCAACCACTCTTTCTCTTTGGCTGTCTGGCAGGATTCGCCGGGGAGCTGTGCAACTTCGAGTATAATGAATGCGAATCGAATCCGTGTCAGAATGGCGGCGAATGCATCGATCACATTGGCAGCTACGAGTGTCACTGCACGAAGGGCTACACCGGCAACCGTTGCCAAATAAAGGTGAGTGAACAATAGAACAAAAAAAAACAGAAAATACATTTCATGGTGTTTGGAATAAATCGATGCTGGGAATACTCTAAACGTAGGAGATGGTAGAATATTTAAAAGGTTTGTTTAAATGGAATTGGTTGTGAAAATTATTAGGGATTTCTGTAAGAGCTACAATCTTTTATATTTAAAGTATTGGAAACTTAGGAAAAGATTTTTAAAATTGTGCCTTTAAATGCTAAAAATAATATGTGCAAGAGGGCCGTATTTTATATTGAAATGATGGCTTAATTTATTGGTGAATTTCAGATGTATTTTCTAGATAATTCCTTAATTTTACACTGTTCTGAAGAACAATTGTTGCTTACATAGCTAAATACTCATTCATGCTCCAAAGTTGAGGAAGGACCTTAAACCGTTTCTCGTTTTTTTGTTGTTGTTGTCAAAGCCATACCCAGGAGTCCCCATTAGCTGATTTTTATTCCCCGAGATAATCAATATTTTAAAATGATAACAAATCTGCCGAAAATTCCCCCGACGTACCAGTTGAGCGACCCCTCAGCAGGCCTCTTGTTGTCCGGGCATCTTTCGAATGGATATTGATTTAATTTGCTCAAACCCGAGACGCGGCTTAGTCTCCCTATCTGTCTGTCTCTGCCGTATATGCATGGGCAATGAGGCTGTGCTGCCTTGGTATGGGTACGCGTTCGCGTGCATGTGTGCAAATGTATCCCACAGATACGTATGCTGGGGCAAATACATTTTTGAATACGTAATGAACTTTCTGTGGAGCTTTCATTTCTATTCCTACATTTTTTTTTTCTCGGCCCTCTCTGGTTCCTGCTCAATATGCTTTGATTTGTGCTATATTTTTTTTTTTTTTGTTGCTTTTCAGGTTGATTTCTGCGCCAACAAGCCTTGCCCCGAAGGACATCGCTGCATGGATCATGGAAATGATTTCAGCTGCGAATGCCCAGGAGGTCGCAACGGACCGGATTGTAATCAAATGCCACGAACGGTAAGTCATGATTTATGCAGTCCCTGGGACTGGGTTCGGTCTGGGTTTGGATTTGGGTTTGGGTTTTTGTATTGGGGTTTTGGGCTTCCTTTTCCTGGCTGTCTATCTGTCCATGTCCTGTCTGTATCTGTGCTGCTGCAGCCATGTGCATGGCAAAAAGGCCAGCAAATAGCCACAAATTGTTGGCTTGCCAACCCAGCTGCCTGCCTGCCTGCATGTGTGTGTGCCTGTGTGTGTGTGTGCCTTGACCAGCTGCAGCTGCAACGTAATTGTTGCCAATTTTGTTAGCCAAACTGCTGTAAAATTTCATATATAGAGTAGTAGTTTTTACCCAATTTTCATTGCTCTTCCTGCGGTTTGTTGTGTGCATTTTTAAACTGATTTACGGCTTTGGCTTGTTTGTTTGTGTTTCGTTACTCTCCATTTGATATTGTGTTAACCCTAACTAAATGAATAGTTTGTTGTGTTTGTGTTTGCTGTTTGAGTTCTCTCACTAGAAGATTTTTAATTGAAATTGATATTTTAGTTACTGTGCTGCAAGTTTCAGGCTACCCCAAACCATTCCTATTCCCATTCCTAGTCATAATCGCTACTTACATCAAAGTTGGAGCTGTACAGCCCTACAGCCCACCCATCACTTGCTTCATAAATTAAGTTAACTTTGTTAAGAGAAAAGGCAGGCCTGGCCGGGGCACACGCCACAGAACACTGACAAGGCCAACACAATGGGGGAAACTACCCGTAAGTGGCGTGGGGGCGGGGCTTGGGGCGAGAAGAATTTAATAAACGCTCAATGGACTTGATAATTTGTGGTGCTAAAATAAAACTTAACAAAATGTACATAAATTAAGCGGCAAGGCGCCATAATTAAAGCTTTGTGAAAATGATGGACACGCTGACTAACCGCGAGGCTCCTGCTCTAGCTCTCGCTCCTGCCCCTGCTCCTGTGGGCGGTTGGCGGGCGGGATCAGGGCCGCCAGAGAACACTGTCATTAAGGGGGCGGTGTCTGTGTCTGGCGCTGGAGTGGGTCTAGAAATTGTGGCTTCCAGTCGGGGGCTACAACAAAATTAATTACATTTTCCATGCCAGGCACACACACACTTATAGGAGGTGGGAGATGCTGGCGAACAGTCTTCTGGTAATTGTTAGTGGGTTGGTTGTTGCGGTTGGACAGGCAGCAGGCAGGCGGCAGGCAGGCAGGCAGCTCGCTTATAAGACAGGATCCTAACCCATGCGATGATAACTCTCAGTACTTCCAGCAATGCCAAGTGAATCCCTGCACCCATGGCGGCACTTGTTGGTCCAGCGGTGAAAGTTTCTACTGCGCCTGTCGTCCCGGCTACACCGGAACCATGTGCGAAGGTAAGTTGGCGGTCCGAATCTCTGGCCAAAAAGTCATTAACTTGATTAAGGCCATCACAAAATATGTTTGCCCCCTGGTGGCGGCTATCTAACGTGTTTTTTTTGTTTCCCCCCCCCGGTTTTGCGGCTTTCTTTTTCCGCTTTGCAGATGAGTTTGTGGTCGAGACTGTCGTTAGCTCCAGTGAATTTATTGTCGACGATGCGAACGCTAGAAATTTTAATGACAAAACTTTCGGTTCATCGGTTGTGCTTAAGAGTCCCATTGAATTGCATAATGCATATTTTGCGGCCGGAGTTCTGGCAGCCGCCATTTTCATCGTTGCCGTTGTGGTAAGTTTCACCAGTACTCTGGCAAAAAACACACACACACACACACACACACACACACAGAAACAAAGTGAAATCGGTAGGTAGAGTGTTCCGTAGAGATGGTGGGTATACGGCCGTACAAGGTCCCGGTCCCGGTCCCCGTGACCAACAGGGGAAATTGTACTTTGCGGTTATGCAAAGTGCGCGCGAAATGGCATTGCATATTCATTTCGTTGTCGGCAGCTACATGGAAAAGCCACGGAAACTGTTCGGTCGTGTCGAGTTGAGCAGCAGCAGCAGCAGGGCTTTAACCCAAAAGTTCTCAATCCTCGAATCGAGTCGAGCTTAAAGCAGATGCAAATTTATGCAGTTGTATGCCCTGTCCTGGTTGGGCCGCATCGCACTCAATGTGTGTGTTACTTCTGACTGGAGGCGGCAAGGCGACTCTATGCCAATTTATAGTAGCCCAAAGGGGGTTTGCCACCCCAGTGAAATGGCTACCTATCGAACAAGAATCCCTGTGTGTGTCAGATTAATAATTCAGCTTTAAATTAAGTTATTCGTAACCGAGATTGAGGCGGCTCTTAAAGACGGAAATTGATGCCTGAACGGGAATATGTTTGGCATTTTCTTGCTTTAAATTTGAGGAAATTTTAGCCTAAGCGAAAGTCGGTTTTTTATCTACAGATATTTCATACCTGCCTGGACTTTGTTGGCGAATATGTAACCTCTTTCAGCATTATTTTAGCAGCCATAATTTGCACCAAAGAAAATTTCACCTTGAGCTTTATTTTCCATGTCTCCATTTTCCATTACCAATTCCACATTTCCAATAAATGTCTATGACCATTTACTAAGCGCACAAAAACTCTTTCCATTCACGTTTCAGGTCACCATTTGTCACTGCAAGGTCAACCAGACGTATCGAAAATTCTCCACACGTTCCACCTCGTTTATACCCATTTTGGGCTTCAGTCGGCGACCCAAAATGCAGGGCAAACTCAATAAGCATTGGCTGAGTGGCAAGGGTTTGAATGGTCCCGGCCAGCCCGGCACCAGCAGCAGCAGCAGCAGTGGCGGTGGCGGTGGCGCTGCAGCAGGACCATCCGGCGGTGGAGCGCAGCGGGGATCCTTGACGGGAGCGACGACGCACTCAATGCGCCACTTGCCCAGCCACCCACAGACACAGAACACGCTGGGCGGCGGTGGTGGCAACAACTGTGCTGGTGGTGGACAGCTGCAGGAGCGACCTTTCCAGCGGCACCTGGCCATGAACCTCGAGAACGACATGTACTACACCGTGGAGAACTCGCAGCACTCGCCGTTGATTCAGTGAGAATTGGATGGGAACGGTGGATGGTTAGTAAAATTTACGCCACACACTGATCGGAGCCACACGGATTGAGTGGTTATTTGTGGGTGAGGCGGTGAGGCGGTGGGGTGGTGGGGCCGCTTGCCTTGGGTAGAAGTGTGTAATTAACTTTGATGCTACTCGTTGAATATTCCAAATATTGAACAGCATTCGATAATAATAAACTAAATTAAAATTAAACCAATGCCCGAAACTGAACTAAACGGAAATGGGCAGAGGAGTGTCGGGAGGGTGGCGGCATAATTGACTTTATGATTATGATTCCAACTAATGCAAACACAAATATCTATGATTAATACTACATGTATCCTTCTGGCATAAATAGGCTTAGCAAACTTGTTAATCAAAGTTTATTTTGGCCCAAAACAAACACACACACACACACAGAGACACGGATCTACAGACTCTCTAAAATGATACTGTTTGATTATGAAACAAAAACCGCTGGGGAAATGGCAAAAGCAAAGGCAAAGGCAGGAACTGGAGGTTCCTGCAGATAATCTTGAGTTATGTAAATGTTTAATATACCTGCATTAATCCTGCACCATTTGTGTTGCCATCTGCATTAGCTTATTGTATGTATGAATTTTGCACATTTATTTGCGGACATGCCAGACATGTTTCAACTTCAATTTACTCGCATGTCGAGCTGCTCATGTGGAATAATTTTATGGCTAGCAGATGCTGCTGGAGAGCCAGAATATGGAATGCTCTTAGCTAATTGTTGCCATGAAATTCTGTGGAAATTTGTAATGCAAGTTCAAATTTAGGAATGGACTTAAAGCAACGGCAAACTCTTGGCAGAAAATGCTGTTTTTTGTTTTTAAATATGAGCAGAATATTTTCCAGGGATAGGCTGTACGTTGGTTATTCTCTAACTCTGAATCAAAAGAGTACTGTAATTATTTTCTAAAATATTTCCAACAAATGTTAAAAGTAACTAATGAAAAACAGTTATACTCAGCAATTGGAAATTCAGATATTATTTGATGGCATCTGCAATGACCATTTCTGGCTTTATTTTCACCGCATTTTCATTTGGAAATGTTTGCAATTAGTTAAATAATAATCATAGCGAATACAAAAGCGGCAACAATAACAGCAACCTGGAGGACATTCTACTGGGAGCCGCATTGGGGAAGGATGTGATGGTCCACCAAACGATAATAATAATAGTGCTGCAGAAATCAATTTCCTCTTGAATGTGTCCCAAATATTGGAATTATATCAACTAATTTTAGGAAAGTATGTTTAGTTTAGTTTTAATTAATTTTGCCATGCGAACAAATTTTATTTAACGATGGATGGCGGCAGTAGGTGGTGGGGGGACAGGAAGTGCAGTGCAGTGCAGCTATAGGTATAGGTGAGTGTTATAAATTGAATTTAGTCGGTGCAGATATCAGAGATTATTGCTGGCTAACTGAATTTGGTTTTTGGGTATTTGCTTTTGCATTTGCATTGGCATTGGCATATGAATTAGCACTCAAATGTTGTTAGTGAAAATTAATTAGCATAAATTAAAAATGTTTGCCACAAAAGTTAATATGTTTTATGTGCATAAATAATATATGTTTCGAAGTCATTTCCATAAATGAGATTGTGTATCTATGGGCTGGGTGTGCGTGTGTTTGTGTTTATGCCACATTTAGCATATGGATATTAATGCTAATCAATTGGCAAAGAGAATGGCACAAAGTTGCACTCAATAATTGATTAAAATCAAACAGGCAAAAAAAAAAATACAACAGCAACAAAAATATTTAAATAAATAAGTGAAATAAATTTAAATGGAATTTCCATTGCGATCCAACATTTTTTGCATCAATAATATTTGTGCAATATTTGGAATGCTGTGGAAAATGAGTTTGTAATTAAAATGCTATATTAAGTAATTAATGACGATAAAATGAGGCAAAACCAAACGAAAATAAAAAGAAAAAAAAATACCAATATGAAATACAAATAAAATACAATTAATTAAAAGCCTTAGCCTAAGGAGACAGACACTCACAAAAGCAAAAATGAAATGAAAATTATATAAATATAATTGCTACATTTTTAAAGAGAAAATTATGGCAAAACACTTGGCGTTTTGGGGCAATTACAATTTAATTTTTAAGCAAATCAGCAAAATAAATGTGGAAAATCCAGCGAGATAGCAAAACGGCTCTGATTCAATCTGCAATAAATGGTGGGAAAAATTGAATTCATATTTTTCTGTCTCTAACAACATTTGGTTTATTTCATATAGACATATACATTTATATAACAAAACACACACGAGTAAAACTAGACAATAGTTTTTGTTTTTTTTTTTTGTTTATTTTAGAATTGGATTTCGCTTTAGTTTTTCTATTTCGCTTTTGGTTTATTAATATCACTCATACGCCACGTTGGGGCTGGTTAGAGATTTGTGTACACCATCAAGTGGCATCGGTTTTGTCATCCTCCTGCTGCTGCTGTTGTTGCTGTGGCTGCGTTGCCTGCGGACTGCCAGCATTGCCACTGCCATTCCCATTGGATTGCTGTGGTGGCTCCACCTTTTCCGCCTCCGCTAGACTCACCGTGGTCTTTGAGTTATGCAGCTCCGTCTCCTCGGGTATGACCTTGCGGCCCTCTTGGTCCTGCGAAACGAAACGAGACGTGAGTGAGCAACATTTTAACATCAAATAGGAGGTATGGTATGCTTATATGCCATGCCACATGCAAAAACTATTCGCAGCATACAACAATAAGTCATGCTAAATATTTGCACTGCACAGTGGCTGCAGCTTGTGTGCAGACACACGCGTACTTTCAACCAAACCACACACATTTCGCTTTTTCCACTCCGGCACACATTCATTCAGAAATTAAAAAGGTAGAGTGTATGCAAAAACCAATTCCATAACGAGCTTTAAAATTAATCAACCAATTGCAAATAAAATAAAAACAAAAGCTAAACAAAAAAAGGTGCGATTAAATTGGGAGCCGACGCGCTAGATACCCTTGCAGATTCATTCAGAGAAGGGCCTATGAAAGCTTCAAATCCGTTGACGAAGGAAAAACGGACAGACGGACCTGGCTATATCTACTCGGTGCTCTTGAGATGCTTATCTATAGTAAATTGTCAAAAATTCGTTCTATTAAATAGTGGAAAATACTCATACCCTGTGCAAGGGCACTTAAAAGTGAACAGAACAGAAGCAAGCATCCCCCAAACTCTGTACGCAATCGTGTGTTGGTCTCTGTGGTACTCGTTGAGTGCAATTTACAATTTACTCACTTAACTTGTTTTTAGTTTTTCCCTCAATGCTCTCAATGGCTTTCATGCACATGCGGGAAAGTATAATCAACATGCATGCTTATTTCTGTTTGAACATGGAAATTTTAAGTGGCCAATAAATTATATTTAATGGAGTTGCAATCATTGGGTTTTGGCTTGGTTGAATGGCTGGTTCGATGGGGGTTTGTTTGGTCTCAAAGTAAATGTTTTTTATGAGCTATCTGCTTGTTGTGGATTATTTCTAATTAATTGATTTGGTAGTATTAATTAAATATTTGCAGGTAAGTGATCGAAGTGATAGAGGGTTCTTGTTTCTGGCTATGAAAAGGAAAGGCTTTTGTTGATAACAAAATTTAAGTTTCTGTAGAATTGTTCGACATTTATGGAATTTATTTTTCATTCAGAATACAATTCGTATTTAGCTATGCAATTGAAGTTCTCAGTTCTTTTTTTAATACCAATATATCTTTTTCAAAATAAAATAAAAATTGTAACAGAATTTGCCACTAATCTAAGACTGAAATTTCTGATATGTGATCTAATATTTAGTTATATCCATAGCATATCTATATCCATACTTTTTCCTTGATTCCCAATTCCCAACTCATTTGCAGGGTTACCCCCCATCCTGCCACACACATCTATAAATTATTGAGTACTGCCCTTCCTGTCCAGAATTTCAAATGATGTGTACTTTTGTCCTTCCAACACTCGCTGCTTTCTGCTGCATTTCATAAGCATTCCGGCTGAGTTACCCTCGCATATGCACGACTGAATTGCATCGAAATCGCCGGTTGATGTTATTTTTTTCTTTTTCTTTTCGCTGTTTTGTTGGTGGGTGTATTGTTGAAAGGCATTTCCACGTCATCAAACTTTTTGGATAATTCGCAATGCATCGGGCGTAGTTTTCTTGTTGTTTGGCTTTTTATTAAAATGCTGCAAGAGGCCTTGCAGTTGAATGCACAAAAGTTTTTCCAACAAACCCATACACACACACACACACATATTCTCTTTATAGAATTGCGCATCTTAAGTGCCATGTGTTGTGGTTGAGAGAGAGAGAGAGAGAGGGAAGGCCGCAGGATACACCCTCCTTTCGCTGTAGAATAGGGGAACCGACCAGAATTTCTATAATGTTTTCTCCCCCACCCCAGTTCATTTTGTGCTGCTTTTGTTTCCATTCCATTGTTTGGCTTCCACTTTTTCTTTTTGCTTTCTGCACCTACAGCTGCCTCTGTTGCTTCGACTCTAGCCCCCCGCCCCCAGCCCATCGCTTTCTCACTGACTCACGCCCACCCCACTCCATCTCGTTCCCTTCGTTAGGGGACGTACAATGGGCATTACTTACGCGCAATTTCGCGTTCACTTTTTGTGCGTTATGTTGAAGAAGTTATTGGCCTCGATATGTGTATGAACGCGCAGCAGGAGCAGGAGTAGACGCGTATGAATGCTGGATATAAAGTCGTTCCTGGCCAAAATCAACAATGACAAATGTTGCCAACAGCATCGCCTTACGTGGCATTCATTTTGTGATCATTCCTATAAATATTTCTTTCTACTTCTTTTTTTTTTCTCTACTGCTTCCTCTTACACATCGATAAATCGTTTTCATAGCCAAAGAAATAAAAATAATACCAGAAAAAATTGAAGCCAGTGTGCGGGCTTTTTTGTGCTTATGTGTGTGTGTGTGTGTGTGCGTGGAGGAAAATACGGAATATTTTCTAGCTGGAAAGCAGAAGCAATAGAAGTAGCGAAAACAAACAGGAAATCGAAGAAGGAAGTTACAACATACATTCATACATACATGTGTACATATTTATATTCATTTATTTATACATATGTACATATGTATGTATGTATGTAAGTGCTTTGGCAATAGTAAAATATTGAGAATGCGATTGGTATGCTTGTTGTTCTTACTATGGCAGGCTACAGTGGTTCGAATGAAAGCAGGAAAAAAAGTAGGTAAAGTAGAGTATGGAAAACGTTTCTAAATGTTTGTTTTAATTTAAAGAAATGTTTATTTGAAGCTAGTTGCTGTGTAAATTAGTTATTTTATGAAGTTAAAAGAAAAACTAAAATTTACGATTAATTTTTGATAGTTCTCGCATTAATTTTCCTTGTTCAGGGCATCAGCTCTAACAGAGAAACAGCGCTGTTAAGAAAGTACGTTAACAGTATGTTACCGATCTTCGTAAACGCGCTGTTACAGTGTCTCGCTGTTAGTGCTCGCTGTTAGCGCTCGCTGTTATGAATCTCTGAAAGCGCTGAGCGAGCGATCTCCACTCTGAGACTCTCCACACGACTCACGTAGGGCTTGTAAAGTCCAAATATATATTGCACACTGACCTTTTCTTCAAATTCATCATTAAAGCACTCCTTACATCTTCAATTCTATCCACCTTTAATGTTTGTATCTTTTGATTTTAACCAAAAAATCGTGTTTGCCTCACTGTAGATTTCAAAGTTTCAAATCACTTGCCACATTCGAACAGACGTTGCCTTTTGCTATGCTTTTTCCTTGTTTGTTTACTCTATGGCTATGTTGTTCTTTTACACCCATCCATCCACATCCCATCCACATTCCATCCCCACAGCCATTTGGCACCCAGCTAGCCCTACTTCCCGCCTGTAACCATACGCCCCTCGAAACCCATGGACCAAACCAAACATTGTTGCTTTTTGCAACAGCTGCCATTGTTATTCCCTTTTTGTCAACTTGAATTAAGTTCAACAACAAATCATTTGGCGTAAAACCTAAACAAAAATCAGAGAGTAAAAAAAAAAAAAATTGCCATAGGACAAAAAGGACATTATTCAAGTTACCCAAAGAGACCAAAGAGCTGTGGATAAAAACTTAAAAAAAAAAATAAAATACGTATAAAGAAGAAAATATAATGCTAAATGCGATGCGATGCGATGTGATGGGATGTGAGGAGCGAGCTCAAATTGCTCGACGAGTGTGCAAAATTAAACTAAACTCAACTAAGCGTGCATCCAGAGGAGGAGGCAAAGGCATCAGAGAGAGAGAGAGAGAAATGGTGATGGAGCAGAGGGGCGTAATGAGCGGAGAGGGAATGCGGAGACGTGGAGGGGCATGTGGCAGGGGGTGTTTGTGGGTTATGCACATAAAAACAAGTGATGCCCGAAAGTCAAATGGCGCAAGTGCGGGCTTTAATTCAACGAAATAACTTAATGCCCGGATGGCTTGGCAAACTGCGACCCATGAACCGCTCTCCTCGAACCTCCAAAAACCCCCCATAAACCAGCAAAAAAGCAAAAAAAAAAAAAGAAAGAAAAACAGGCAACCAACAAAAGCATCAGCAATGGGAACTGTACATGCCATTGCATTCTGCCCCCTACCCCCCACGCCCAGTGACGGGGCAGTATCTTGGCGGATGATGCTGTTCTGCTGCTGCTGCTGTTGCTGTTGCTGTTGCTGCTGCCTCTCGATGTTGCCTCTTGTGCTGTGTTGCAGCCACTGTTCTGCTGTTCTGCTGGCTCCTCTGTTTATTCGTATTCAGTGCTGCATACTTTAGGGCGCATGCATCCCCGAACAACCCAGCAGAGGACAGAGAAGGACAGGACGAAGAAGGACATGCCATGCCATGCCTTGCCATGCCTTGCCATGCATTTGCAGTTACATATGTTTGTGTGCTGAAGTACCCCTTTTTGTTTTTTGGCAGTAAGGTCATATCGATTAGGTCACATTGTTGGCAAGTAGTCAAAAAAGGGGGAAGATAATTTAGTACTTAATGAAAAATACAAACGAAAAATCAACCAAACTGAATTCCAAATATAATTATATTTTTTTTTCCAACTATAAAACTTTTCTTCTAATGTTTTCTGACACAAAATAATATTCGAAATTCTTTGTGCTAATAGTTTTGGTCTGCCAA